ATAGGTTTGGTGATGGCCTTCCAACCGGCAACGATGGCAAAATCCATGGGGGCGAACACCTCTTTGCCAGGTCGGTCCACGAAAGCCTCACCAGTGTTGCCAACAGCATGAACAAAGTCAGCTACAGCTTGCGACGTGATTGTCTCACGTCCACCGTTGAAAGTGGCAGTCGTCGGTGTATCGAAAGGAACATCCTTGTTGCCAAACCAGACACGATAATAGAACTCCTTGATGCGATCGTTGCGGCCTTCCATGACCTCCCTGATGGGTGCGTACCCTGCCTCAGGGTGATACGTGAAGAGAAATGTCAAGGGAACGACAGCAGCCTCCGCGGTCCTACCCTCAAAAAGAGTAAGGCTAATTTGATTGTTGTCGTTCATCTTTACCTCGACCGTTTTGACCAGTTTGCCGGATTGGTAAGGCTCCCGCACGATAATACTCGTCTTGGATGGGTCATTTGGATGCGAGATTTCCACGTACATGCCTGCGACGGGTGCGACTATGCGTTTCAAGGGATTGGCATCGAAACGATGATCCTGAACGAACACGTCTGCCAAGAACAACGCATGTCTCCAGGAATACGCTGAGCCAGCAAGGACACGAAGCCAGCGATCCAAACCAGGCAAGTCCGCCGAGGGAGAAGATGACAAGCGGTAGGTGATCTTGTCACCGTCTTCCGCGATTGTTAAGCCGTCAATATCTTGCTCATCGTCAGTTCTGTCAAACAGTCCCCCAAAGTACTCGATGACAGGCACTTGCGTCTCGTCTCCGTTGTACACATCCTCGATCAGGCTCTTCACGTGACCCTGATGGATACCGTCCAAGATGTCCCGGACAGGCTCGTCAATAATAGTTGAGAACTTGGCAGCCATGGGACCCTGGAGGATACATGTCCTTCCGACGTCCTGGCCCACAACAGCCTCCAAATCCTCGCTCTGCCAGAGAGAGTCTTTCTTGAACCAGTACTCGAAATTCTCATCCAAGGAAGGTACAAAGGGAACGGGCTTCTGTCCCCGACGCTGGCAGAGTAGTAAGAAATGCTGAACGTCCTGAGCGTTGATCAACTGAGTGGCTGCCTCAGGGTAGGCAGCCAGGATGTTGTCAATATTAGGATAGGGAGCATTCAGCTCAGAATAATTTTGAAGAAGAGATGGCTGGCCCTCACTTGTAGTGAAGCGTTCCTCAACACGGCGGATGAAGTCGCCAGTAAGCTTCTTCAGAGACTCATCGATCCATCTTGACTCATGCTTGACATACATGAGATCTACCATGCGGTGGACGACTTCAGTGTAGGTCATGTCTTCGAGGTCAACGGTTTCGCCAGCAGCGTTGCGGCCGAACCAGACCTTATGGAAATCATCGTTCAGCTTCTTGATAATGTAATTGCGCTGCTTCTTCAGCTCCGGGACGCGCTTGGCCTTGTCCAATTTGAAAATCTTCTGGTCCATCTCGTGCCAGAACAACACACCCCTAGTGGCTAGCTTGTGAATCGGCTCACCCATTTCAGACAGGACAGTAACCACGCCTCCTGCGGCTCCCTTGTATGTCTTCTCCCAATCTTTGTCATCGAGGCCAGGTGCATCTGCGATGGCCTTCTTGGCATTCTTCGATGTATGAGCCTCTTTGGAGATCATCATGCGGCTGCCAAACAAACAGCCATCGAAAGGCATCGGCGGGTACCCGAAGCCAGATGACCAGGTGCCGGAGAGATAGGGGTAGGTATCCTCGGAGCCACCGAAGCCGCTGCCTGCCACAAGGACAATATTCTCATGACGTCTGATACGACTGTACATCTGCAAAATTGGCTGATGGAAGTCCTCGAATGAGTGATGACCACCACCACGGCCTCCGGTCCACTGAAGAATGATAGGGAACTTTGGGTTAGCCTTGGCGATATTGATTACCTGTTGGATAGCATCAACGGAACCCGGTTTGAATGCGATGTGCTTGATCCCCAAAGTCTCGATGTATTCATTCGCCACTTCAATGGACGGAACACCGGCACCAATAGTCAGACCCTCGATCGGCACGCCTTCAGACCTCAACCTACCGACCAAAGGTATCTGCCATGCCATAGCACGAGGATTGACGTAAATCAAGTTGATCGTGATGCCACGACCGGGAGGGATGGCCTTTTCAATTTTTGTCACAGCATCAGTCATGGTCTTGGCATTGTAGTAACCGCCACCCGCAAGCTCGATATGGTAACCGGCGTTCATTGTAGCAGCAACAAAATCCCAAGCAACAGTGGTGGGGGTCATTCCGGCCACCATGACCGGCGGAATTCCTAGCAGTCGGCTCATCTTGGTGTCCACGAAAGTCTGGCCCATCGCGTTCTTTACGAGACGTGGCCCGTACTCCTTGACCCAATCAATGGCGTACTTAACGGAGTGTTCGTCACGATCGAATAGCTCAGGCTTATATCCCACTTCAGCGTTGGTGCCATCCATAGCTCCCGCAAGTACCACACGAACACCGGTTCCATCCTTGTTGCGGTTGGTCAGGACACCCAAGCCAGAGATGCCACCGGGTCCGAAGTCAACGATGTGTGTGGCACCAGGGAAGACTGTGGCTTGCTCCCAGTTGACAGCATCATGGGTTATCATGCGAACTAACGCCGGTACGATGTTGGCTTCACTGGTCTTGCGCAGGTCATCACCGGTCTTAGTCCCGTAAACGGGGATGGCGAGTGATCCGGGGGATATCTCCAAGTCCTCCAGGTCTTCCAGGATACGGTCATAGGCCGGGTACAGGTACTGGCTATGGAAAGGTGCGGTGATAGGGAGAAATCGGTTGACGAAGCGGACCTTGCGTTGGGTGTAAGGAACACGGTTCTGATCCAGACCTGTGGGCGCTTTGACCTTGCGCAGGCGCAGATTAAGACCATACAAAGACAAGGGAGGTCCAGTAACAACAAAGTTGCGAGCGCTGTTGATCAAGGAAATAGAAATATGGCGGTCCTCGGGAAGATGCTGGTTGGTCATATCAATGTGGTCTTGCACGGCTGCTCTTGGGAGATCTCGGATAGACAGCATCGGAGTGGGCGCACCCTCTCCATTCTCAATCGAGTCTTGTAGAACCGAGGGTGCAATAGATGTACGCGGATAGGCTTGCTGGCTGCGAAGACCAATCCAGAAAAGCATGGTCAATGCATTTTTAGAAGTCTGCTGGAAACTTTCCCAGGAAGTGGCGGAGGCGATTGCTGCTGCGGTGACCACTCCCTGCGAGTGGCCAGTGGTTCCACTGAATCTTTCGAGGACCTCACCGGGTGCTTTACCGAGGACCTTGCAGGTAACAACGAAATGTGCTAGCTGAACCAAGCCAATTAACGGCAAGCTGACGGGTGCGGACACAAGATAATCTGTGTCAGGTTGAGAATCCGGGTCCTGGAGCCACTGGATGATGTCCAGTCCTTTAGGATAAAGCTTGTTGGCCTCGGGCTCACGCGAAAGGGATTGAAGCAACTCGGCGGAGGACGTGATCAGATCATCCACGAACGAGGGGTAGGTGTTATAAACCTCTCTTAACTCATCGAAATATTCTTCGATGTTACCTTGTCCCCCAAACACTGAATAGATGCTCGCCTTCTCATCTGACGCGGCTCGGAAGAGGGCCGAATCGTAGGGTTTGGTAGGCCGCCCAGCGGCAGCTCTACCGGCATAATAGGCCTTGACGACTAACACCTTCTTCGAGGTGATGCCGGGAAGACCAGCAGCAACAGCGTGCACATCATTGCCACGCATAAAGGCCCGTTCAAATTCGTTCAATGCCAATTTCAAAACCTCTAAGTAGGTGCCCTGGGCATCGTCTTCACCCTCTTCCACCTCCCGTGCAACATGGTCAATGTATCTTGCGACCAGTTCGGCGACCGAGGAGGGTTCATCGTCTTGCGCAAGCTCATCTGTCGGCTGTGGTAATGATGCTGTGAAACCATCCTTCAATTGCGATGCATGGAAGTGAAGCGACGTCGGGACGAGGAAAGAGAATTCAAGCGAGCCATGAGCCAGAATAAGTGGCCTCAATGACTGTGACGAGCGAGGGGTATTAATGCCCGTTTGTGGGCCGGTAGATGTTCCATACATCCTGTAGTTCTCGTGTCGTTAAAAGTCTATGAGCGAAAGGCCGAAGAAGGCGTCGGGGAAGAAAAATAATAAACGGAAAAGTGCGTAGGTTCTGTTATCGATAAGTATATATATCGGGAAATGAAAATTCGTGCCAGGAAGTGAGAGCAGACAATGGAATGAGAGGAGAAAAAGTGTGTATGGGCACATAGTCTGGTTTTCTTTCTTTCTTTTCTTCTTTGGGTGTGTGTGTTGCCTACCTATTTCTATCAGAAAATGTGAAATAAACCTCAACTCAAGGGAACCACAGCCGGTCCCGTCGTACAGGATAGATAGAGGAGGGGCGGCCGCCGGAGGAGGAGGAAGGTAGAAGAGTAAAGACAAGGAAGAGAAGGTTGGAGGAGGAAGAGAGGTATGGGGGAAAAGGTATTACGATATGGGGGAAGGGGAGGAAAGAGAGGGGAGGGGGGGAGAGAGGGGACAGTGGAAGAGCAGAAGGAGAGGGTAGAATAAACAGAAGGGAGTGGGATGGAATTGAAGCCTTGAATGGGCAATCAGAGAGCACGACTCGGGAGAGTGGTTCAGCACCTTGCGGTACTAGTAATAATTTTGGAATCCCGGCGCCGAGATAGGGCGGTTGTGCACACTGTTGAACCGGCTGGGCGGAGGAAGAGATCCGCCGACGTAGGCTGGTTGAATAGGAACTGACCGAATTCGGTATGGTGGGTGGCCGCACCTCCCCAAAACTCTGAAATGGTTGGGCTGGACCTGAAGGTGCGGTGACAATACCTGACCATGTCTGACCATTCCTGACCATTCAACAAGGTTGATGAATGCAGTGATGGTTTAGCAATCACCATCCAATCTTCACCAACAGATCTATTGAGTACTTAGTAATGTAGTTACCTAGTAGTTAAGTTAGCATACTGCCTAGTACTACAGCACTGTAGTTATTGTAGCATCATATACCCAAGTACCTACTATGCTGCCGAATTCAACCTGTCAGGTCTGACTCAATTGCAATTCTTATGATGGTTGTGGACCAATCATACACTGTCGTTGTAAGCTGGTTCTTTCCTTTTTTTTTTCTTTTTTTTTTTTGCATGTTCGTCTTCCATGCTTGTTCTCGGCTCCGAAAGCCTGCTGGAATTCATGCAATGCTTCCGTACCGTATGAAAGTCAACTTCCGCCCCAACACTCACCCAAAAAAACAAAAAAAGAAAGTAAGAGAGAAGGGCGGGGGGAAAGGCTCAGTTCAAAGTCCCTTCCCATTTCTCAGCTACAATAATACTTTGGTAACCTTCCGGTTGTCGTCGCTACATACTAAGTATCGCCAACCTTTCCGTCACCCCCCCCCTCTCTCCTCCCATCCTAACTCCCAGGCGTTCAAATAATATTCTTTACAATCGTATTAGTGTATTTTCTCTGGAATTTAATTGTTGATCGCTTCGATTCTCATCCACTTTCTTTGGCACATATCTGGATCGAGGTCAGTCGGCGAATTCATCCCATCCTTTCTCCCCCCCCCCCCTCCCTCTTCTACCCCCACTGATAGTGGTCCTGAACTGGGGGTGAGTATTTTTTATTCCCACCCGGAACTGCCGTGGATCAATTTTCATTTTCCTATCCAGCTTCCCTTTCCCGCACCCGCTTGGTTGCCTGCTCAAGCACTTGAGTGGCGCGAGAACACAAGAAAGAAATAAAAACATTTGAAGGTTCAATTAGAGTACGATTTGCATTGACATCATTTAGACTGACCTGTTCATATCTCTAGTTAGGATTGAACCAACCTATATTATCACTTTAATGATATTCATCTTCCTTCCGTTGCCCTAACTCCGACCTACACTTTTCTTCCCTCAACTTTCTTCTGGTGTTCATCCTTTGCCTGGCCGCCACTTCTCCCCAACCAATTGAGGCAGAGACTGAAACCAATTCCTATCCTGGTACAACCGCTTGAAGTTGACCTTCTCCATACCCCATCTCTACGTGGGCATATCCTTACATTTCCATCAACAATATGCGTCCCGAAATTGAGCAAGAATTGGCCCACACCCTGCTGGTTGAGCTGCTGGCCTACCAGTTTGCCTCGCCAGTGAGATGGATCGAAACGCAAGATGTCATACTTGCAGAGAAGCGGACAGAACGGATTGTTGAAATTGGCCCCGCGGATACACTGGGTGGTATGGCAAAACGGACTCTTGCCTCGAAATATGAAGCATACGACGCCGCTACCTCCGTGCAACGCCAAATACTTTGTTATAACAAGGATGCGAAGGAGATTTATTACGATGTCGACCCTGTGGAAGAGGAGGCAGACACTCCTTCAGAGCCCGCTGCTGGGACTCCGCCCCCGGCTGCGCAGGCCGCTGTTGCTGCTGCTCCTGTGGCAGCCGCTGCTCCGCCTAGTGCTGGACCTGCCGCAGCAATCGAGGATGCTCCTGTCACAGCAGTGGATGTCCTCAGGACATTGGTGGCGCAGAAGCTTAAGAAGAGCCTGTCCGATGTGCCTCTGAGCAAGGCCATCAAAGATCTTGTCGGAGGTGGGTACCAGCACGAATCACCTGAGCAATGCTTTCAATTCATACTAATCTGTTGCAAATAGGTAAATCCACACTACAAAATGAAATTCTCGGAGATCTGGGCAAGGAGTTTGGCTCTACGCCTGAAAAGCCGGAGGATACCCCCTTGGATGAGTTAGGTGCATCCATGCAGGCCACATTCAATGGTCAATTGGGTAAACAATCCTCTTCTCTCATTGCCCGCTTGGTATCGTCGAAGATGCCTGGTGGATTCAATATCACTGCCGTTCGCAAATACTTGGAGACGAGATGGGGTCTGGGTTCCGGCAGGCAGGACGGTGTGCTCCTCCTTGCGCTTACGATGGAGCCGCCGTCTCGTATCGGCTCGGAACCCGATGCCAAGGGTTATCTTGACGATGTGACTAATAAGTATGCTGCCAGTGCTGGCATAAGTCTGTCTGCTCCCACAACTGGAGGTGATGGCGGCGCCGGCGCCGGCGGTATGCTCATGGATCCCGCCGCTATCGATGCCCTGACGAAGGATCAACGCGCCCTGTTCAAGCAGCAGTTGGAACTCATTGCTCGCTACTTGAAAATGGATCTGCGCGCTGGTCAAAAGGCGTTCATCAACTCCCAAGAGACTCAGAAGACGCTGCAAGCGCAGCTAGACCTTTGGCAAGCCGAACATGGCGACTTCTATGCCTCTGGCATTGAGCCAGCGTTCGATCCTCTCAAGGCCCGTGTCTACGACTCCTCCTGGAACTGGGCTCGCCAAGATGCTTTGAGCATGTACTACGACATCATCTTTGGAAGGCTCAAGGTTGTTGATAGGGAGATTGTGAGCCGTTGCATCCGTATCATGAACCGGTCGAATCCTCTCCTTCTAGACTTCATGCAGTATCATATCGACAACTGCCCCACTGAAAGGGGTGAAACGTATCAGCTTGCAAAGGAGCTTGGTGAGCAACTTATTGAGAATTGCAAGGAGGTTCTTGACGCTGCTCCTGTCTACAAGGACGTTGCTGTTCCGACCGGACCTCAAACCACTGTCGATGCCCGAGGAAAGGTTGGTTACAAGGAAGTCCCTCGCGCCAGCGCCCGCAAATTAGAGCACTATGTTAAGCAGATGGCTGAAGGCGGCCCCATCTCGGAGTACAGCAACCGCGCCAAAGTGCAAGATGACCTACGCAGTGTCTATAAGTTGATCCGCAGGCAGCACCGCCTCTCCAAGTCTTCACAGCTGCAGTTCAACGCTCTCTATAAAGAGGTTATCCGCGCCCTGAGCATGAATGAGAATCAGATCATTCCACAGGAGAACAACAACGGAAAGAAGTCTGGCAGAAACAGTGTCAAGCGCAATGGTAGCCCTCGGTCGGGCAAAATTGAGACCATCCCTTTCTTGCACCTGAAGAAGAAGAACGAACACGGCTGGGATTATAACAAGAAGCTCACCGGTGTTTACCTCGACGTTCTGGAGTCAGCAGCTCGATCTGGTCTCACATTCCAAGGCAAGAATGTTCTCATGACTGGAGCTGGTGCCGGTTCCATCGGTGCTGAGGTGCTGCAGGGCTTGATCAGCGGTGGTGCTAAGGTGATTGTCACAACGAGTCGATTCTCCCGTGAGGTCACTGAATACTATCAGGCCATGTACGCCCGCTATGGCGCTCGTGGCTCTCAACTCGTCGTTGTGCCCTTCAACCAAGGTAGCAAACAGGATGTCGAAGCACTGGTCGACTATATTTACGACACTAAGAAGGGTCTTGGCTGGGATCTGGATTTCGTTGTCCCATTTGCTGCCATCCCGGAAAATGGTCGGGAGATCGACTCGATCGACTCGAAGTCTGAGTTGGCCCACCGCATCATGCTCACAAACCTGCTCCGACTTCTTGGTAGCATTAAGACACAGAAACAAACCAATGGCTTTGAAACCCGCCCAGCACAAGTCATCCTTCCTTTGTCTCCCAATCACGGCACTTTCGGAAATGATGGACTGTACTCGGAGTCCAAGCTGGCTCTGGAGACTCTCTTTAATCGCTGGTACTCGGAGAACTGGAGCAACTATTTGACCATCTGCGGTGCTGTTATTGGCTGGACGCGCGGCACAGGATTGATGAGCGGTAACAACATGGTTGCTGAGGGCGTTGAAAAGCTCGGTGTCCGCACCTTCTCACAACAAGAGATGGCCTTCAACCTTCTTGGTCTCATGGCACCCGCTATTGTCAACCTATGCCAGCTTGATCCTGTCTGGGCTGATCTCAACGGCGGTCTTCAGTTCATCCCCGATCTCAAGGACCTCATGACGAGGCTCCGCACTGACATCATGGAGACCAGTGATGTCCGCCAAGCAGTCATCAAGGAAACCGCCATCGAGAATAAGGTTGTCAACGGAGAAGACAGCGAGGTCCTTTACAAAAGAGTGGTCGCCGAGCCCCGTGCCAATATCAAATTCCAGTTCCCGCAACTCCCTGACTGGGAGAAGGATGTTCAGCCCCTCAATGAGAACCTCAAGGGCATGGTCAACCTTGAGAAGGTGGTTGTTGTCACTGGGTTTTCAGAGGTCGGCCCCTGGGGTAACTCCCGTACCCGCTGGGAGATGGAGGCGTACGGCAAGTTTTCCCTTGAGGGCTGCGTCGAGATGGCCTGGATTATGGGTTTAATCAAACACCATAATGGTCCTCTCAAGGGCAAAGCCTATTCAGGATGGGTTGACGCTAAGACTGGCGAGCCTGTGGACGACAAGGACGTCAAGCCCAAATATGAGAAGCACATTCTGGAGCATTCGGGCATTCGACTGATCGAGCCTGAGCTGTTCAAGGGATATGATCCCAAGAAGAAGCAACTTCTCCAAGAAATTGTCATCCAGGAAGATCTTGACCCCTTCGAGGCATCCAAGGAAACTGCCGAAGAGTTCAAGCGCGAGCATGGTGACAAGGTTGAAATCTTTGAACTGCCCGAATCGGGAGAGTACACTGTGCGCCTCAAGAAGGGGGCTACATTGCTTATTCCTAAGGCCCTCCAGTTCGATCGTCTCGTTGCTGGCCAGATTCCCACTGGCTGGGACGCCAAGCGCTACGGTATCCCAGACGACATCATCGAACAGGTTGATCCAGTCACATTGTTTGTTCTTGTCTGTACTGCGGAAGCAATGCTCTCTGCTGGTGTCACCGACCCTTACGAATTCTACAAGTATGTTCACCTGTCTGAGGTCGGTAACTGCATTGGTTCCGGTATTGGAGGCACCCACGCCTTACGAGGCATGTACAAAGACCGTTACCTGGACAAGCCCCTCCAAAAGGATATCCTGCAGGAATCCTTCATCAATACTATGAGCGCTTGGGTCAATATGCTTCTTCTGTCCTCTACTGGTCCGATCAAGACCCCTGTTGGTGCCTGTGCCACGGCAGTTGAATCTGTTGATATCGGTTATGAGACGATTGTGGAAGGCAAAGCTCGCGTCTGCTTTGTTGGTGGATTCGACGACTTCCAGGAAGAAGGATCATATGAGTTTGCAAACATGAAGGCCACCAGCAATGCGGAGGATGAATTTTCCCACGGCCGTACCCCGCAGGAGATGTCGCGCCCCACTACCACCACGCGTGCGGGTTTCATGGAGTCACAGGGTTGTGGTATGCAACTCATTATGAGCGCCCAGCTGGCTTTGGACATGGGCGTACCCATCTACGGTATTATTGCCTTGACAACGACCGCCACGGACAAGATTGGACGATCCGTCCCCGCCCCCGGTCAGGGTGTTCTCACCACCGCACGAGAGAACCCTGGCAAGTACCCGTCGCCGTTGTTGGATATCAAATACCGCCAGCGCCAGCTTGACCTGCGTAAGAAGCAAATCAAGGAGTGGCAAGAATCAGAGCTGCTTTACCTCCAGGAGGAGGTGGAGGCCATGAAGTCCCAGAGCTCTGAGCCATTCGATGAGTCGGACTATCTGCAGGAGCGGGCTCGGCACATTGAGCGAGAAGCTGTCCGACAGGAGAAGGATGCCCAGTTTAGTCTTGGCAACAACTTCTGGAAGCAAGACCCCCGTATCGCCCCTCTCCGCGGCGCCCTTGCTACCTGGGGCCTTACTGTCGACGACATTGGTGTTGCATCCTTCCACGGTACCTCTACCGTGGCCAACGACAAAAACGAATCTGATGTCATTTGCCAGCAAATGAAGCATCTGGGACGCAAGAAGGGCAATGCGCTGCTGGGTATCTTCCAGAAGTATCTCACCGGACATCCCAAGGGCGCTGCCGGTGCTTGGATGTTCAACGGCTGCTTGCAGGTTCTTGACAGTGGCTTGGTTCCAGGGAACCGTAATGCTGATAACG